TGTAATATACAATATAGAAATAATCCAAAGATTTCAATCCAAATGTCTCAGATTATTAAGCAATGCTCCCTGGTGTGTATCAAACGCCACTCTACTAAAGATCTCAATATCACCACTGTTAAAGAGGAAATCACTCTCAAATCTCACAAATACCAACGCAGACTCGAAAATCATATTAATCATTTGCCATAAACATCTTAGATAACAGCACAATGACAAGAAGATTGAAAAGAGTACATCCTCTGATCTGGACCACAGATATAAATAATATTTTTCTTATAAAATAATTGTTACTGTAGATATAATTTGTTGTCACAATGCTTGCACTATTGTATGTTTGTTATCGTGTTATTGTTATTTCAATGTGATGTTGTTATTGTTGTTCTTGTTGTTTTTGTTTTCTCTCTGAATTGCGACAATTAGTTTAAAACCATTTTTAGAAAGAACCAGAATTGGATGGTTTCTTTACATGTCAATAATGTTTGTACAATTGTATTTGCCGAATGTTTGAGTAGAACAAATTGCAAATGTTAGAAAAAAAAATTGTGTAAAATATTTATTTTTATAAGTAAAATACTCATCGTAATTCTGTTATCTTGATGATCATCATAGTTCCACTTACATTTATTATAGACTGGAAAAAAGAAAATAAGATTAGTTGAAACAAGTTTTTGAATACATCTTACATAAGCATCAATCTCAAAAGAAAATGTTTATTCAGTAATCGAAGAGATAATATTTGCCGTTGAACAAAGAATATTAAAATCGTGAAACGATTTATTCTCAAGACTTTCTGGGTAATGTTAGTTTCTAATTTCTTTATGTTCTCATTTCCATATCTTTTTCGATTTCATATCTCTTAAACATCACATTATTGTACTATTTTCTTCTTTGGTCCTATCTTCCATGTACGGAAGTTAGGTGACCCATAACGGGTTTTCTTCGGATACGTTATTCAGGGTGGTTTCCCGTTGCCTTCCCTGATATGATGATGATGATGATAGGGGGTGAAACGACGAACACAATACCACCATCCCCGAGGCGGGACTCGAACCCGCGATCTTTCGGTACGAGATCGCTACGGCACTACTGCCTTAGCGATCTCGGCCACCGGATCGGCATTGTACTATAGGAAAATAGATAAACATTCAGCACTGAAAAATATAAAACTTAAAATCATTTAATAAGTGCTGTTGTTGGTGAGTAAGATGTTCAAAGATATCTCAAAAATACTATCTGGGATGGGTAATGTGAAAATGGTGAAAATGATGAGTTTGACTGTAGATGCAAAGAGGTAGAAAAACGGATAATATGAAAATTCGAGATTGCGAAAAACATGGAGAATATAATTATCACAAAATAATGGCAGAACATTTAGCCTAAGACAAAAGTAAATGAAAATGGTAGAGATTAAATGAGAGAATATATTGAAAAAGAGAGACGTTCATTTTTAAACCTAAATATAGATAATGATCAGAAATGAACATTTTTATCTCCTGAATTTCCTAATGTAATAGTGACGCTATAGCAGCACGTATTTTCCCGCAGAGAGTTTTCAAAAAATTGGACATGCGTCTTTTTTATCAGCGTACTTTCTTGTATTATTCCTGTATTCCCGTATTTGAGAAAATAGTTGTTTAATAACTGCTTAAAAATTGCCTATATTTCACTCGAAATGAAGCAAAAACTACTCATTTTCGAAACATTGTACATGACCTTATTTAAAGAGCTGTACTTGAAAAACTGATTTTATTAAGGTAATCTTTATCTTCAATATTGTGGTTGCAGAAAGGAAAAAAATTAAATTTTAACAATATTCAAAAAGTCATAGATTTCAACAGAAATTAGATCTTCTCCATTTTCGAGTGTCCCTTGTATTCGGGAAAAAAATTCATAAAAAATCAGGAAACTTTTTTGAAAAAAGATTGAAAATGTTCTAGAGCTCATGTAAACTACCATGAGATACCTCAAACTCGTGAGAAAGAACGCAAATCATTGAGAAATTTCTGGAGAAATGACTGAATCTCCAGGGATTGGCATTGATTCATAAAATCTTGTGGCCGATTTCGTAACTAAGACCCCCTCTACCCACATTTCTTCAATCCATCGTTCAAAACAAGTTGCGCGATTAATATATTACTGCTGAGCTGAATCGACAGCCATTTTAAAAATTATTATGCGTTTTTTTGAGGTAGAACATCGGTGTCGTAAGTTTGAATCATTATCCGATCTTCATTATTATTCGTACTTACATAAATTATCCTCATCCACGAGATCTTCGCCGGTTACAATGGTAACATATAAAAACCGTGTTGATGCGATAACGACTGTGGAATCAGCAACCTATAAGTAGAAATAATTTTATTATTTAAACATTAGTCTAAGTATATGTTACTCTCAGAATGGGGAGAACAATCACATTAAATAAAATTGTACTAATAATACAGAACGTAATGAAAATAGGAATAGTTTATGTAACTTGGAGATCAAAATTTAAAGATGTCGATGGGAAAGATAATAAAACACATAAAACATGAATTCTTCGAATATTTCTTGAGTGATGTATCAAGTAATATGATGTATCAAAATAATTTATCAAGTATTATAGACCTACCATACAACAAATTGAAAATATAAAACAGATATGTCGAGCAACTATCATTTCAGTAAACAAACAGTTCCAGTTGTTACGTTACGTCCATAATCTGGCACAAGTTCGTCGATTATTGAAAGCTACAAAAATCATTGTAATAATGCTCCGCTTTAGGCACTGTTGTTTTTTTCTCAAAAATAGTATAACATTTTGTTGAAAGTTCTATCTATTTTCAGAATCTGTTGAATCTTCTGTAATGTACAGTTATCTATTGAATCCATTTGTCCAGTGATGCATCAATTTGAGTAGTTCTCGGGTAATTTTTCATGAAAATACGTGCAGTTCTGTTTTAGCACCTCTAGATTTAGATTAGATTTATTTAGTCCAAAAACAGTAAAAACTGTATGTGACGTAGGGGGGAGAAGATTATCTGCGCACGTTTTCTTGAGTTTCAGAATCCCTTCCCGTCATTTAAATAATAAATAGTTAAAAGATGAGTGAAGTTTAACATAAATAAATAAATTTTAAAACTCGTAAGATTAGCAATATTTGAAAAATAGTAATTTTCGTTTCCGAGTCATAGGAAACTTATTTGCATCGGTACACGAATTGCAAGTATGATTTTTCTTCATTGCTAACAAAATAGCAACTCGCCCTTACATCTACTCATACCACTACAAGCAAAAGGAGAGTTCAACAAAACGTGCGCATAATGAAGCTACATTTACGCCCTGAAGCAAGACAAGGAGCCATCTCAGCATTTGCTCAATGAATCAGTGAAACTGGACAAAAACCTGATCGAGACTAGTTATACTGCTTCTAAGTTCGGAAAAAGAACTGTGATACGGCCTTTTCTGGCCGTAACGCGCCGATTTTTCGACAGAAAAAATTATGTCCCGCACATCAATAAAGAAGATTTTTTGTGCGCGTAAATTAGTAAACTACTTTCATGAATTTGTTGCTTAATCAGAATTCACGTTTTGTGACCATGGTACAGAACAAGGTGTTGTTTCCTGGTGCTGATGAGTTCAGCTCTCTGTCCGGACGTGTGTGACTAGTGCATCAACCGTAAACAAGTTTCTCTAAAAGGTATTTTTTAATCGCTCGGGTTTAGATCACGGGACCCCTTTTTGAAATTGTTATTAATTTTTTGCACAAACCTTACATGAAACCCCAACATTTCGAATTTTTTTAAGAGTGTTGGATTTCTTTGTAGATAGAGCAAATAAAAATGACACTGCTTCGATTTTCGCTTTAAAAATAAAATAAATTGAAGTGTTTATATTTGTGAGGTACAGTATTTTAAAATATGAGTACCCAATTATTTTCGGTTACTTCTGTAGAGTAATGTATTCCTATTAATACGGCGTAGATCCTATTTTCATTCAAAATTCGGAAATTTTGGTTATAGCAAAAATTTAACATTTCCTTTTGATCGTGCCGGGAGCTTTGTGCGTCTTACTTTATGGGCGCTGAACCTACGCGCCGGGGTTCAAATCTCAGACAAGGCAAATATATATGCAGATCGGAAGCATTTTTGCAGATTCTATAATTCTATATATCAGATTCTGAATATTATAAAATTACGTCGCCTTTACAAGTAACACGAGACCGTAAGTGCTGTTTGTGATCACTAGTTTTTGTCTATGTTTATAGATAGGATTGTGCAAATAAAATAATTTGATTAAATATGTCATATTACCTTCTAATATGACATTATTGCATTTATTCACAAGTTTGCAACCGTTGAGTTCCAATGTCCAACCCAGTAGATGTAAAACCAGACATGTTTTTTCCCTGATCAAAAATGAAACGAAGTTATGTTTCATAGCGTAGAAAGTAAATTTAATCCTTTACTTATATTATTTGAAATTATTTTTGTAAACAAGCGAAAAGATATCTAATAAAAGAAAGGAAATTGTCTTCTAGGAAGACGTTCTTATTGCTTCACGCACGTCAGGAAAGTAATTTCTTGTGAATAGATTGTTATTTATGATAACTGAAACATACCAATGAATACATTCACAGAAACATTAATGAACACAATAATTGACCGGGAGCACTTCTAACTCAAAAAAGAGTCAGAAATACTAAATTATGTTGCAAAAAATGTGAACAACTTATTGGACATCGACTATGAAAAGTCTATGGTCTCCTCCTTCACAGTCTTTAACTAATATTTAGGGTTAAATAAATGCAAAATATGATTGAATCACTATAGAAGTGAACATTTATTACACAAAAATTACATTAATACTGATATTAAGCTGGTGAACAATGGTATTAGCCATTTCCTTAATATACAACGACGTACAGACATGGTTTCTGTACCGAGAATAGCCTCTTTACAAAGTTTTACAATTTATTAAATCTAATAACATCAGAATAATTTAAACTAATCTATCATGCGTTTCTTAAAGCCTTCATAGCACCTGTGAGAGCAATTTTATACACCAAATTTCGAAAAACAAATTATTCTAAAGACATATTATTCATAATAATTGCGACATTATGTATTGGATAACTGGATGAACCTTTCTTAAAATACGTCATTTCATAGTCTTTGAAGTTTGAAACACACACATTAATCTTGTGTTCAGTGCACTTAGTGCTGCAGGACGTTGGCGACCATGTCGATCCAGAATTCATCGTATTTTTTCACGACGGCTCCACTGAAAACAAAAAATAAAATTAGTTCAAAGTCAAAGCATTTGAATCAGTTAATACGAAAAACCTATTTCAACATAAAATGTATATGAAAGTAGTTGATCGAGATTCGATCATATCTGGTACATTTTGAAATTATTTGTGTTCTTAAGGTAATTAATATGTAATTAATACGAAACCGTATTCTAACATAAAATTTATATAAAAGTAGTTGATAGAGATTCGATCATATCTGGTACGTGTTGAAATTATTTGTGTTCTTAAGGTAATTAATATGTAATTAATACGAAAACGTTTTCTAACATAAAATTTATATTAGAGTAGTTGATAGAGATTCGATCATATCTGGTACGTGTTGAAATTATTTGTGTTCTTACGACAGTTCGAAATATACACGTCTAAGTTTGTGCTAACCCAACAGTATTAAGTGTTAATATTTTATGCATTATCGCGTTCAGAGTCCCTATGAAAACATTACAATATATCGGTCCGTCCAAACGGCCTTACATCCATAATTTTATTACAACATTCTCAAAAATAAAAAATACTTTTTCCGACCCGGTGTATTTTAAAATTCTATGACCGTCCTAGCAAGTCCAAACAAAAATTCGTACAGTTAGGGCACGTTCCATGGAAATATTTGCCATAGAAGTTGGAATCGTCTGTCACCCATATGTGGTTCACGGACGTACTAAAACCATCGAGTGTTACGTTTCGTGGACCACATATTGCTCACAGGACAGTGAACATGCGTTATTTCTACCACATAATATCTTAAACTCATTCATCACATTTATGTTAACTCTATTATTAATATTAATATATTATTAATAATATCAATAATATTAGTAACAATTATCTATGTAATGTTTTAACACTAACTGTATTTACATCTGATATAACAAAACCATGCTCAAATCCAGGCTTCCTGGAATGATATTATTTAACGATAGACTTTTTTAATGCACATTTCTCTATAAATGTGAAATAATAGTTTATGTAGATTTTTTCTTTAACGGAATGGACGGAATATATTTCATTGCTTTTCTAGTCTCAAAATAAAAATAGGAACGAAAATCAAAATAATCTCGCCGTTTACCGTTGTGATGTTTCTTTTGTTTTTCATCTAGTTCGCAATTCCAATTGACAAAAGATTATTTTAAAAGCATTTATTTTTGACAAGCCATTATCAAAGTGAAGTTTCTAGATTATGTTGCGTAGCATATTTTAGAAAGTAGAATAGTTTTGAGATCTGGCATTGCTTTTCTGTGAATCGAGACCGAAGCGTCGTGTCGCTTTCACGTTGGCCGCGCAGGGAATTTTGTAAGAGATGCGTAACATGTTGCGTGGCCAAGCGCCCCGGCCGCCCCGCGGCGCTAGCTCCGAGCCATATGCGGCTTCCGCGTTCTGACGTCGGGAACGAGAAGAAAAACAAGGCGAAGGAGGAGGAGAAGGAGGAGGAGAAGGAGGAGAAGGAGGAGACAGGAGGAGAAGGAAGGAAGAAGGGAGAGAGACAAGGAGGAGAAGGAGGAGAAGGAGAAAGAGAAGGGAGAAGGAGGAGGAGGAGGAGGAGAAGGAGGAGAATAATGAGTCGGAGGAGAAGTGAAGGAGACATAAAGAAGAACGAGAAGACGAAGGAGGAGGAGGAGGAAGAGAAGAAGTCAAGGAGACAAAGAAGAAGGAGAACACAAAGGAGGAGGAGGAGAAGTAGTCAAGGAGACATAAAGGTAAAGACAAAGGAGGAGGAGGAGGAGGAGAAGAAGGCAAGGAGGCATAAAGGCGAAGGACAAGAAGATGAAGAAGGAGGAGGAGAAGAAGAAGAAGGCAAGGAGGCATAAAGGAGAAAGAGAAGACGAAGAATAAAGAGGAGCAGCAGTCAAGTAGACAAGAAGAAGAAAGTATAGTGAAGAAGAAGGAGAAGAGATCATCTTGATTTATCGTATCGAGATAGGAATCAGCGAAGTAGCGTTGTGCCCTCCGTATTTGAAGGTTTTCAAAACGACAACCGCATTGTTTCCTGTCGGCAACATTAGAACGTTCGCATAAATTCAATACGCCCGAAGAAAAGACGAAATATATTCTTAAAATGGAGTTGAGTCCAGATTATTTTAAAAATTTAAGCTTATGTTCGCATGTGCGAAATAAAAAATTAAATATTTTGTATTTTATTTTTAGAATCATTTGATTTTATTATACGTTAACCATTGAGTAATGATTATTAATCGTTCTGATCGTTGTATAATTCTGTTCTGATTCGTAATATTTAGTTTTAAAACTTAAAATTTAATAAATGGCTATTTGGATTGATTGTTTAGCGATTCCAGGCACGTAAACTGCTGAGGTTGTTAGTCCTGTAAGTGTTGTAGCATGTTTTCATCTCAAGAGGTGGCAAGCTCTAAGCTGCCGACGCTGGTGTCCGACATGTGTAGTAGTGTGTGTAAGTATAAGTGTGTGTAAGAAAGTGGTGATTATAGGACTAGACGAACGAAGGAAAGATCGCACGCGGTCCGCGGCCTGTTTGTTAGGGGTCTGCTCCTGCATTCGCCTGGAATAGATCGGATAAACCACGATCAGAGCTGTCCACTGCTGCAATTCTTTACTAGACAGCGGCTGAAATAGACCTAGCTTTTTCGTTTGTTTATTTAAGCTCACTATAACTACGAGGTCATTAGCGACCACTATTGATTGAAAGTTAGGGGTATCTGCACACTAAATGAAGTGAAATGGTGGTGATGAAGGGTGAAAGGACGAACACACAAAGGACGAAATACCACGCCCGAGACGTGACTTGAACCCGCGATCCTTCGGCTCGAGATCGCTACGGCACTACTGCCACCCGGATCGGCCACCCGGATCGGCCACCCGGATCGGCCACCCGGATCGGTCATCCGGATCGGGCACCCGGATCGGCCACCCGGATCGGCCACCCGGATCGGCCACCCGGATCGGCCACCCGGATCGGCCACCCGGATCGGCCTCCCGAATCGGCCACCCGGATCGGCCACCCGGATCGGTCACCCGGATCGGCCACCCGGATCGCCTTGACCGCCTTGATCGCCTGGACCTATCTTCGTCTACATTTTCAAGCTCGACATATTTTTTCAAGCCAAGCTTGCTAGAACCGTAAAGTGGGCAACGACGTCAGAGGTGAGCAAACTGCACGAGCTAGTAGTGAATCGGGCGCAGGAAGTTTTAAGTATTTCGTAAATGTTTTAGTGTCAATTTATGTTGAAACTGAAAGCATTCGAATTTCAATACTTATGCAAGCGTTGCTCATCGCACAAAACAATTACAAAAAATCACGCTTTATGATCTTCATTAAGTGGTCAGCGCCACCCTTCCCTTCAACGAGTGACAAGTTCTTGGGTGCTTTCGAGTACAACAAGGAATAAATATTTTTTACTATGCATATGAAACAAACGGGAGTCATTTGAGTTTATTATTATTATTATTATTATTATTATTATTATTATTATTATTATTATTATTATTATTATTATATTTATTAATTTAGGATTCGTTGACGTAGTTCCACTTTTTTACATTTTTCCTGACATTGTCACTACACCTTTAGCCGAAATAGCAAGTGGATATATTGTTACATTCTGTAGTTTCCACATATGTCTTATTTCCAGAGAACGATCTTCATACTTAGTAAGTTTCTCGGCCTCTGTTTTCTTTAGGTTGCGTGTCAATGGTACGGCAATATCAAGAAGCATAGCTTTTTTCTTGTCCCTGTCAATGAAAACTGTATCTCGTCTATTGAAGGCCGCAATTTTATTTGTTAATATGGGCCTGTCCCAGTAAATGAAGGTACTATTTGGTTCCATTATATGTGCTGTGTAGTATTTATAATAGGTAGGAGCTCCACGAATTAACATTCCATGCTTGAGAGCCTATTGTTGATGGACAATCTTAGTTAGTTGGTTGTGTCTCCAAGTATGCGAGTACAGTACATCCAGCCGTTATATGCTCGATTGTTTCACCACGTTTCACCGCCTTTCCTGCATTTGTCAACCACGGGCATGTTCATGCAATGTTTTTCCTAGTTCCTAGTTGGGCATACTCTATCTTGAATTGCCGTTATAAATCCTTCTGTTTCTGAGAATAAACTGCAACGAGAACTTCGTTTCAATATGACGTTCGTGGATAGCTTTAGGAAATTTGCCGTGCCAGCTTGTTGCCAATCTTCTAGATCTCTTTGAATTGTCTCTTTTGGTATTGTTCCTGCAGCAGTTTCTGTTGTTTCAGTGTTAAAGCCACTCAAGTTTAGTGGAGTATACCCATCATTTGCTTGTACATCTATTTTCATTCAGGCTTCTTGCCAC